GCTATTATAATTTGTTGAAAACCAAATTTTTAAATTAATTACAATAGAGAAGTTCTGTAAAAGTTTTCTTGGTGTATTTACTATTTGGATAATTATCTTGGACTAGTTCAAAGATGAGCAAAATCTATATATGATTTTTTAATAATAAAGGATCAATCGTTATGTCTAGTAGATTCGCGGTGATATGAATAACTATCATATGATTTTTTCAAAAATTAGGTATCTCTTTTCAATAAAAAGTTATACATCAATGAAGTGACCGAAAATGTGATTTTCACTATTTTGAAAATTTTAAATGGCCGCCATTTCTAAACTAATTGACCGATTTTTTTCATCTTCGAACTCGTTCAAGGTAATTACTCAAAGAATATGTGTACCAATTTTCATCAAGATCGGTTGATGAAAATTGGTATGCGTCATATTGTGTATTTCAATTTTTTTTAAAGTCCTAGTAAATAGATTTTTCGAATTTAGTTAAAAGTAAAATATTTTGCAACCGCGCACACCAAGTACGTTCCAAAATTTTTTTTTTTATTTTTAAATTTACAACAAAATTTTTTTTAATTTCCGTAAATCATAAACAATCATATCAGTTACTTGGAATTTTTAATTTTTTTATTTTATCTTTTTGTAAAGAAAAAAACTAATTTTTTTTTCTTAATAGTCTTATGAACGTGGACTTGGCGCGATTTTTTTACAGTGAAACTGTTTTTGTTCGGATTGAATTATAATCAATTGAATGCCTTAAGTGTGAGCGCGAAGATATACTCTGTCGCATAAAAATCAAGATCACAACGTTATGTCACATTAAATTGTACCTAATACACGGAGAAAATAAAGCAGTAACCAGTACTGCGCATAACACTAATCGAGTCTATTCAGTGTTCGGAAACATGAATTTACTTTGAAAACAACAATAGCTATCGTCATCGCAGCTATGAGTCCTGTCAGAAACTATCATGACTGATGTTTTGTACATTTTGGTTAGAACAGCAATAGCCACTCTTAAAACATGAACCGCTCACGTTTGGAGTGTTCCGAGTCGTGTACTTCTCCACGCTGGATACTGCTCTGTGCAGTAGCCAGTCGTGTCACAAACCAGAGTCGCAATCGTACTGCGCATGCTTATTAAACAATAAATTCCAGTCGAAAGCTATACTATTGTTACGAGCGTTAATTTAAAATATATATTGAAAAATATTTTAGTTAAATATTACTCAATATAAAACAGCACAGTGTTTATTAAGTGTCTTTTTAAACTGACTACATAAAACTAGTTTTTATATTATGAGGTAAGTGTTTTTCAATCGTAATAATATTTATTCTATATCCTAACCCTATTTTTAAGAAATTCTACACCAATTTATTTCACTTAAATTTATATATATCGTCATTAGCTTTTATAAATATTGAGAATTTTATGATCTGTCGTAATAATTTTATTTATAAGCTATAATATGTTGTTTCAAACTAAATTTAAAAAAACTTGTATTTTTTATTTGACAGTTTTAATTAATAATTTATTTTTCTATTTCTCAGTCATGGCTTCTCTTTTGTCGTCGGTAACAACTTCCGAAGTTGTATTAACTGAAGTTTCTACGGATCTCGATCAGTCTTTGGCTTTAACGTTCAACCAGTCCTATCAGATTTTACCTCTGCAATATCAAGATTTAGAATCATTTTTGTTAAATTGTCGCCCCGATGGTCCAGTGATTTTATTTCATTATGAGCATCATAAATCTCTATCTGACATAATGTTAAATCATTTGGCACGACTAGTTGTAGGTCGGGAAATAGATATGATATTTCAAGCGGAAAATGTTTCCTTAAGTAACCCGCTAAAAAAGCTCGAGTAGGTTTGAAAATTTTTAATTTCTAGAAGTAATTTGTTCATCGAAAATTGTTCGTTGCTTAGAGTCATTTTATTATTTTGTATTCATTGTCTACATAGAATTCCTTCAAAAAATTTAAAGCAGCTGGCGGGTGAGATCAGTGTACTTTTCAAGGAGAGAAGTGATACTTTTTATACTCCAGGACATAGTGACAAGGACCACAGAGTTGGACCATCGGGAAAACTTATTGCGCGTGTAAATTATATGCGCAAAATTTTAGTAGATTGTGGAGTTTTAAAATTAGAACGACGAAGCTCATTAGATTCTCAGATTCCTTTAGGTATTTTTATATCATGCCACCTTATATCATTTTTTATATAATTAGATCATTTAATTTTGATGGTAAATTTCTAATGGTGATTAATTTTTGTTATTTCAAGATTCCGAGGATAAGTTAACTATCTTGAAAGAAAATACTGCAGAGTGGACGATCATAGAACAAACATGGAGAGATACGTTTTTGTTGCGACAGCAATTAATTAAACAAAAAGCTGAGAAGGGACTTTGGGAATTTTCCGAATTTCTTTGTCTTGCTGCTAGTGACGGAGCATCTTTAGTAAGTGTAGAACAATTTTGTTCGTAGCCTTTATATTTTTTATATGCATGAATACCTTTCGATTTACCAATATTTAAATACATTTTTCATTATAGTTGATTCAAGATTTTAATACAAAATATCCAGACAACAATATTAAGATTAAAGAAATTTGGAAGACTCTACAAAATGCCTTGGATAGTTTTATTTATTCGAAAAAACTCTCTAATGAAGTCCAAGATATATTTGAAATTTTTAAATCTTCTAAAGGTAATATATTTTCGCTAGTAATTATTTTTTTCAATTTATAATTAAAAACTATCAATTTCATTAAAATTATTTATTGTTTTATGCCAACAGAAAATCAACATGATGCTATTGTTTTAATGCTTTTGCCATTTGCTATTAAAGCACCTGCACTGTCCACTAAAGGAAGCAGCAAACCACCTACTAAAAAACAAAAAGTAGAAGAACCTAAATCATCTAAATCAACGAAAACCGAGCCTCAAAAAACGTTTATTTTGCATGTAAATGTAAGTGATAGTTTTAATATTGCGTACTGTACGTAAAATTATATTTAAAATTATTGTCTTATTTCTATTTTTATTACTCATATCTTATACTTGAATAGTTTTTTATTTTATAGTCTTTATTTTAATCTAAATATATGATAAATTATTTTTCTTAGATCGCAGCTGATGTAGACAAGAAAATTGATGAAGAACGCGAGTCTTTACTCTTAATTAAAGAACGCGTACAGCCATTTATGGTTTTCGTTGGACCTTTGACATCATTGGAAGCATTTTACGTTGTAGTCGATAAAGTTCGCTACAAATCTGAATCTGCGCTAGAAGCATTGGATTTGACGTTTAGAATTTTTTTTGCGTGTAACTGCGATTATCCTAAATTAACGCAGCAAACTTGGCTGTTTATCCAAAAATTGTTGTACCGTATAAATGTCCCCGGAGACAAATGCTCAATGTTATTAAATAAGGCATTAACTTTTTTTGAAAAAGCGTTAAATATAAAAATAGATTAGATCATAGCATTGCAGATATTTAAGTTAAAAGTGCGATTAAGATTCATTTCTATATTTTAAATTTATCAATACATAAATAGTTTAACTTTAAGCAATATTATATAATAATGAATGTATCTATATTTACGAAATCTTTGTCAGAAGCTGCTGCAGATTTTGTAAGCAAACTGTATAGTTTGCCCGATTTATCTCGTACTAATGTTCAAGAACTGTTAAATGCATTTACTATTTTTTTGCAGACTGAACCGTTTAATATGTTACTAAATGACATGATTCAAAAATGTGTATTCTTGGGTGACTCATCACAATCGATTCAAGTCTATAAAGGAATGGTAAATTGCATCCAAAACCCCTTCGAACAATTTAACACTGAGAGACGGTGTTTAAATTATTTTACAAAAAAAAAAACGTATATACCTCCTGAAGAAAAAATTGTTGGGGAAAAAGATTTGTTTAAACAAAATGATACCAGTACAATTTTAAATAAAAAAAAAATCACTATTCAGTTCATTCCATTGCGCAATGTCTTAAAAGAAATTTTTGAACTACCATTTATTTTTAATGATTCTAGAGAATATTTGCAAAATCTAGAAGAAAATGATGTTCTTATTAAAAATGTCGTCCAAAGCGAAAGTTGGAAAAAAAAGAAAGCTACACTTGGTGAAAAATTAGTTTTTCCGATTTTTATGTACCAAGACGATTATGAAACAAATAATCCTCTAGGTAGTCATAAAGGTTTAGGAAAAATGGGAGCAGTATATATTGTCATGCCATGCTTACCACCACACTTATCGTCAAAAACTGAAAACATTTTTTTACTGACTTTATACAAGTCCAATGATCTTAAATATGTAAGCTTGCAAGTAATATTGGCAGAAGCTATAAAGGAATTGGAGTTCTTGGAATCTACTGGAATTTCAATTTCTCCAACTCAGATTTACTTTTCTTTAGCAGGTGTGATTGGAGACAATCTTGCGGCTCATACAATATTAGGGTTCATAGGTAGTTTTTCGGCGAACTTTCCTTGTAGATTTTGCAAAATTCATCGTTCTGATATTAATTCAACTTTTAAGGAATCATCTTGCGAGTTACGTTCAGAAGAGATTTACAAAGTAGATTTAGAGAAAAATGAGCTAAGTGAAACTGGTATTGCTGGCCCATCTGTATTCGAAACTCATTTAAAAACAGCTTCAACAATTGATCTCATGACGGTAGATGTAATGCACGATTTATTAGAAGGCATTTGCGAATATGACTTTGGCTTAATAATGCATCATTTTATTGTAGTTGAAAAATTTTTTGCTCTTACTAATATTAATAACCGTATAGAAGGACTTTACTACGGAGATGAAAGCCGCAATAAGCCACGAACTTTAAAGCCTAATCAAATTAAAACCCGCTTTATAAAAATGTCCGCCAGTGAATCACGATGTTTTCTTGAAAATATTGGTGTATTGATTGGTGATTGGGTACCTAGAAAAAATCTTCATTGGCGATTAGTTATCTTAATAAAAGAAATTTTTGACATTGTTTCTGCTACTGTAATTCATAAAGGTATTTCTTATTATTTAACTAACTTAATCGGAGAATACCTACATTTGTTATCTATTTTATTTCCCGGATCACTGAAACCTAAGCATCATTACATGCTTCATTATGCCACAATAATGGAACGCAAAGGTCCATTGTGGAATATGAATTGCATGAGGCCAGAAAGTAAAAACCGAGATTCTAAAATAACATCTCGCATAACTCTTAATCGTACCAATATTTCAAAAACGCTTGCTATTAAATCGCAGTTAATTTTAAACCATCGATTGAGGAATAGATTGGTTAGTAATAAACTGTATGAGAGTAATAAATCCACATTAAAGTCAGTACCCGAATTACAAGAATATTGTTCATATGCCAAGTTATTATCTTTCTCACACGGTGAGAAATTTCTGTAGAAATTTACTATGCATACATAATAAGACTGAACCTTAATGACTCAATTCAAAATATTACCATAAAAATTTAAGAATATCATATTGTACCAATCAATATTTACTAGGGACCATAGTAAATTTGACCATGTAACTGTTACATAAACATATATAAAAAATTTTCGTAAACTGACTGAACAAAAACTGTGAGTGTGCTTAAAACTTTTCATTATAGTTCCATAGTAAAATGTCTGTTGTTCAGTCGACAATAAAAATTTATAAAAAAAATTTGACATTTAGTCACGTGTACTCGATTTAAATTTAAAATTGTGACTATGAAATTTTCAAATGTCCCATAGTAAACGTATGCGCGTCAGTCGCGACGCGCGCTCTTTCATTTTTTCGTGCGGCTTTGTTTTGTCAACATAAGTGTACAAACGCTATCAGCAGTGGTTAACGGTGTTATAAAAATTGCAATAAACATT